GTCTCTCCTGCCCGGGCTGGCTTTGAACCGCGATCCTCAGATCTCAGCCTCCTGAGTAGCTAGGATTATAGGTGTGAGCCACCAGTGCCCGGCTTAGTATTTTTTGATACGTGCTTTTGGATCCATTATAAATAGATTTGAATCAATGTCTTAATGTCTCCATAGCTGGGAAACATTGCTGCCATTAGTTCATCATGTTGTTTGGGCTATTAGAACCTCAAAATTGAGAGTTCAGAGTTGTACTCTTCATTTTTATCTCATTGGCATTAAAAAAAAAACAAAAAGCAGTCTTTTTGTGTGTCGGTAGGATATCACCAGCTTCCACCAGCATACAGACCTGCTGCTCTAAGATCAGGTTGCACAATGCACCTTGCCATGGCTGGTGTGTCATGCACAATTAAGTGCATCCAAGAAGATGGATTCAGAGGAAGAAGTCTGTGTTGGTAGTTAGGAGGACTTTCTTGTCTCTTAAGTCCCAAGTGTCTAACCTAAAGCTTTCAAGTGTGACTGTGGATCTGTGTGGGACAAAGAACTCTGCCCAATGCCATCACACAGAGAAGCTGCTGAATGTTGTAAAATACAGCTGAAATTATTGAATGCCACTTTTTCAGAGGTGAATTAATGGACAGCCTGGTCAGATTGGAAACTTTCTGATGTGTAAAACCTTATAAATGGTACTATTCAATCAATAGACAAAAGTGTAACCAAAAGCTGTCTAGATGGATTAGTATGTAATTTCTTTACAGGTCTCTGGTTAGTAAATACATCACGGTATACCAGTCAAGAATCTTGTTCCAATAAAAGAACATAAAGATTTTCTTTTGTAGGTTGTAGGGCTTGAACTTAGGGCTTGGGCAATGTCCCTGAGCTCTTTTGCTCAAGACTAGCACTCTACCACTTTGAGCCACAGTGCCATGTTCAGTTTTTGTGTGGTTAATTGGAGACAAGTCTCCCAGACTTTCAGGCTGGGAAGGTGGCTCAGTGGTAGAGTGCTTGCCTTGCATGCATGAGACCCTGGGTTCGATTTCTCAGTACCACATAAACAGAAAAATCTGGAAGTGGCACTGTGGCTCAAGTGGTAGAGCACTAGCTTTGAGCTTTGAGCTGAAGAGCTGAGGGACAGTGCCAGGCCCAGAGTTAAGGCCCCATGACCAGCAAAAAAAAAAAAAAAATCTCCCAGAATTTCCTGCCCAGGCTGGCTTTGAACTGTGATCCTCAAATCTTAGCCTCCTGAATATCTAGATTACAGGCGTGAGCTACTTGTGCCCAGTCTGTGAAACTCTTATCTCCAATTAATCGCCAGAAAACTAGAAGTGGTGCCTAGGCCTTACAACTGCCAAAAAAAGAAAGAAAGGAAAGGAAAACAATTATATGGTTGGAAATTGTAGTAGGGTGCGTCTCTGAATGACTATAACTCTCTCTCTCTCTCTCTCTCTCTCTCTCTCTCTCTGAATAAAGTGAGTGAATGCTTAGAGTGATTTCCTAGCATGCATGAAGCCCTGGGTTCAATTCATCAGTACCACATAAACAGAAAAATCTGGAAGTGGCACTGTGGTTCAAGTGGTAGAGGGCTAGCAGTGAGCAAAAGAAGCTCATGAATAGTGTCAGGCCCTACGTTCAAGCCCCAGGACTGTAAAAAAACAAACAAAAAAACCCAAAACCTGGAATAGCTGGGTACTAGTGGCTCATGCCTGTAATCCTAGCTACTCAGGAAACTGAGATCTGAGGATCTCAGTTTGAAGCCAGCTGGGGTATGATTCTCCTCTCGAATTAACCACTCAAAAACCGGAAATGGCACTGTGGCTCAAAGTTGTAGAGCACTAGCTTTGAGCAAAAGAGCTCAGGGACAGCGCCCAGGCCCTGAGTTCAAGCCCCATGACCAACATAGAAAACAAACAAACCTGGAAATAGAGATGTGGCTCAAGTGGCAGAGTACCAGCCATAAGCAAGGAAGCAGAGGGAAGTTACAAAGCATGGCTCTGAGTTTAAGCCCTAGTACCAGCACAAAAAAAGGAAGGAAGGAAGGAAGGAAGGAAGGAAATGAATTAATTCAGTTAGAAGAATGGCTTAGTAGGGCTAGGAATGTGGCTTAGTGGTAGAATGCTTGCCTAGCATGCATGAAACCTGAGGTTCAATTCCTCAGTACCACATAAACAGAAAAAGCTGTAAGTGGTGCTGTGGCTCAAGTGGTAGAGTGTTAGCCTTGATCAAAATGAAACTCAGGGACAGTGCCCATGCTCTGAGTTCAAGCCTCAGGACTGGAAAAAAAAAAAAAAGCCAGGCGCCAGTGTCTCATGCCTATAATCCTAGCTATGCAGGAGGCTGAGATCTGAGGATCATGGTTCAAAGCCAGGCAGGAAAGTCCATGGACTTTTTCTTTTCTTTTCTTTTCTTTTTTTGGGGTCCGGTCGTACGGCCTGAACTCTGGGCCTGGGCGCTGTCCTTCAGCTCTTCAGCTCAAGGCTAGCGCGCTACCACTTGAGCCATAGCGCCACTCCCGGCTTTTTTCTTTTTGCTTATGTGGTGCTGAGGAATCAAACCCAGGGCCTCAGGCATGCAAGGCTCTACCACTGAGCCAGCTTCCCAGCCCTTCCATGGACTCTTATCTCCAATTAACCACCAGAAAACTGGAAGTGGCACTGTGGCTCAGGTGGTAGAGTGCTAGCCTTGAGCTGAAGAGCTGAGGGACAGCACCCAGGCCCAGAGTTCAAGCCCCACAAAAGATTTAAAAAAAAAAGGCTTAGGAGACACAGTATGGTTTTTTGTTTTGTTTTGTTTTGCTTTTGCCAGTCCTGGGGCTTGAACTCAGGACTTGGGCACTGTCCCTGAGCTTCTTTTGTTCAAAGCTAGCCCTCTACCACTTGAGCCACAGTGCCATTTCTGGCTTGTTCTGTTTAGGTGGTACTGATGAATCAAACCCATGGTTTCATTCATTCTAGGCAAGCTCTCTATCACTAAGCCATATTCCCAGTCTTTAGTATGGTTTAAATATGGGAATATAGGAAGATATACTATCATCATACATAGATCCCAGCAAGCCTTCCCAAGAGGCCACATGTGGCAGTAAAGTAGTAGAGAGAAAATTGATGGTATAGACAAAAAAGGAAGGCACAATTCCCAGAAACTTCAAGGACAGCTCAGGCCTTTTTAGTCATCTATTCATCAGAGTGTAGTGTTAATATTAATTCTATTTCTTGGCTCTGTATTTCTCCTCCGGTGCCAAATGTGCTTTCTTTCCAAAGGGTAATACTTCTGTAATCAATGCCAACTCTTTGAAGCTAGGAACTAGCCTCTAGGATAAATTCTGGACCCCACTCATAAGACATCCTACTTACTACCCACCACCTTGTTTTTTAGCTGTTAACTTTTTTGTGTGTGTGTTGGTCCTGGGGCTTGAGGTTGAGCATTGTCCCTATGCTTCTGTGCTCAAAGCTAGCACTCTATCACTTGTATCACGGCTTTTTTTTTTTTTTTTTTTTGTCCTGGAACTTGAACTCAGGGGCTGGGTGCTGTCTCTGAGCACTTTTTGCTCAAGATTAGAGCTCTACCACTTTGAGCCACAGCACCAGTTCTGGTTTTCTGGTGGTTAATTGGAGATAAGAGTCTTGCTGGCTTTGAACCAGTGATCCTCTGATTAGTCTTTTTGTTGTTGTTGTTGTTGTTGTTGCCAGTCCTAGGGCTTGAACTCAGCCTGGGAACTTTCCCTGAGTTTCTTTGCTTAAGGCTAGCATTCTACCACTTGAGCCACAAGGCTACTTTCAGCTTTTTCTGTTTATGTGGTACCACGACTTTATGCATGAGGCAAGCACTCTCTCCCTAAGCCACATTCCCAGCCAAGGGTCTGGTTTTTGCCAATTTGTACAAGATTTCACAGTAAGCTGGGTGCAGGTAGCTCATGCCTGTCATCCTAGCTACTCAGTAGGAGGCTTAGATTTGAGGATCATGGTTCAAAGCCAACCCAGGCAGGGAAGGTTGTGAGACTCTGTTCTCTAACCATGAGGAAACCAGAAATGGTGTTGTGGCTCAAGTGGTAGAGCACTCACGTTGTACTGAAGAGCTGAGAGACAGTACCCAGGCCCGGAGTTCAAGCCCCACAACCGACAAAAGAAAAGGAAAAAAGATTCCACAGTGGCAAGTGAAAGGTAAGGGACTCTTCATCTGCAGATTCCTGTCTGGGATGTCTGGAACATGTCCAGTGAATAGTTTACACTTTGTAAGTGGGCTGAACTTAACGGCCAGTGTATCTACCACTCTGATACATCTCCAGGGCTTCTGGCCACTCTGTACTGTGAAATTGCAAAGTTACCTCTTCCATAACCACCCCGAACATCTTCTAGATGTGATTTTTTTTTTGGGGGGGGAAAGGGGGGGCTTGAACTCAGGGCCTTGGGCGCTGTTCCTGAGATTTGTTGCTCAAAGCTAAAGCTCTATCACTTGAGATATGGCTCCCTTTACGGCTTTTTTCATGGTTAATTGGGAGATAAGAATCTCATGGACTTTCTTGCCTGGACTAGCTGTGAATGGCGATCCTCAGGTCTCCTGAGTAGCTAGGATTACAGACATGAGCCACCGGCGTCCAGATTCGATTGTCTTCTTGAAAGGATCCCAAATCTATCATCAGTGCTCAACTCAAAGAGCACCTGAGTTCAGTCAGGCCTTTAAATGTTAAATAAAACCCAGAATCTTGCAAATGCCATCAAATCTTTGTCACTCCCATCCCCACCCCGCCCCCTTTAGGGAAACCGCAGGCCAAGAGTTCATTAATCTAAGCAAGCTTACTCTGGAGGCTTCAAAGCCTAGCACTGCCGCCAACCTAAGCCTAAAACCTCACGGCCCGCTGGCGGCCATAACCACCTGAGACCCAGAGGTGCAGGCCATCAGGCACTGAGGAAGACGCCCCCGGCGCGGGCTGCGCAGGCGCAGCTGCCCGTGAGGGCCCCGTCCCTCCAGGCTGCGCAGGCGCAGGAGCAGCTCCGGGAGAGTCCCGACGGCGGCGGCGGCGGTGACTGAGGGGCTGGGGCGTGGAGCAGCGGCGGCGGCGGCGGCGGGCGGTACCGGAGCAGCCATGAGGGCCGGGCCCAGTCACCGACAGTGAGTGGTAGTAGGAGGGGAACGGACACACCGAAGGGTCTGGCGGAAGGATATCTTCGGCTGGTCGGGTGGACTCTGCCGGTGGGGACGGAGGTCGTTGGGGGAGGGACAGTTTGAGGTGATGGGAGAATTTGGGGCATGGGCAAAGGGGTCGTCGGTGCCCGGACTGGACGGCTCGTCGGAGGGAAGGGGTGGTATGCTATGGAGTGAAGAAAGAGCCCTCGGCCAGGCCAGCTGTCCTGTGCTGCCCCGTTTGTCAGCATCCCTTCCCCCAGGAGCTTTTGGTCGCCTCTCCCTTTCCGCTTCTTTCAGAGAATGGTCGCGGGGGGAGGGGGGTGGAGGATGAAAGCCCTGCTGGAGCTGAAGAAGCCAACCCTGAACCAGGCTGGGGTGGGCCAGTCATGGGCCCAGCTGAGGGAGAGGATGTGAGTCGGGAGCTCTCTGTTTAAAGCAGGGAAAGAACTAGAGGCTTGGATTGGGACAGGTTTGAAGCCAGGTCCATCACCGAGGAAGCTGAGAGATAACCTTGGACAGGGCCCACTTAACCTTTCTGATCCTCTGGAAGATGTCGAGCTTCAGACCCGCTATTGCAAGCATCATGTATGTGATTGAAGGTGTTTATGAAAATTGTAAATTGTAAGTACTTAATGCACATACTAACAGTTCACCAGTACTAACGGGTTTTATATCTTACCATTATTAACGGGATGACTGAGTTTTCTGTCAAGGTGAAACGTAGTGTTTGTAACACCTCAATAGACCAGTATATGCTTTCTATATAGAAACATGATGATATGCAGAAATACTACCTTCTGTCTGTGATGTGATAAATTAGCTGTCAGACATTTGTAGGAAATCAGTAGGAAAATACCATACTCTGGTATTTTTACAAATGATGTGTAGCTCCTCACCAAAGAGGAAGGAAATAGAGAGTGGAGAGCCAATCCATTCCATGCTTCTGAACATAGCTCATTCGGGTTCCCTTGTAACAGTTTGCAATCATGGGCTTTATTATGAGCTGAGAAAATTGTGAATTGAGAAAAACAGTTTGAGACAAGTTAGGAAGGCTGCCCAGTGGGGGCATATACAACTTTTTATTTGGGGAGGGAGCAGTGCTGGGTATTGAACTCAGTACCTTGCATATGTTAGGCAAGCATATTGTTATTGAGCTATATCCTCAGCTTATTATTTATTTATTATTCATTTTTGTGCCAGTACTGGGGCTTGAACTTGGATCCTGTCCCTGAGTTTTTTTTTTTTTTTTTTTTTTTGGGTCCGGTCATGGGGCCTGAACTCTGGGCCTGGGCGCTGTCCCTCAGCTCTTCAGCTCAAGGCTAGCACTCTACCGCTTGAGCCACAGCGCCACTTCCGGCTTTTTTCTTTTTGCTTATGTGGTGCTGAGGAATCGAACCCAGGGCCTTGAGCATGCAAGGCAAGCACTACCACTGAGCCATCTTCCCAGCCCTACGAGTTGATTTTTTTTTTTTTTTCTTTTTTTTGTCAAACCTAATGTTTCACCACTTGGGCCACAGATCCACTTCTGGATTTTGTGGTTAGAGATGAGTCAAACTTTAACCTTTTCCTACCCAGACTGGCTTTGAATCTCAATCCTCCGATCTCAGCCTGAGTAGCTATTACATGTGTGAGCCACCTGTGCCTAGCTTCCCCCCCCTCCCCCCCACGGGGCTTGAATTCTGGGACTGGGTGCTTGTCCCTGTGCTCTTCAGCTCAAGGCTAACACTGTACCACTTGAGCCACACCACCACTTCTAGTTTTTCTGGTAGTTAATTGCAGATAAGAGTCTCACAGGGCTGGGAAGGTGGCTCAGTGGTAGAGCGCTTGCCTTGCAAGTCGGAGGCCCTGGGTTCGATTCCTCAGCACCACATAAGCAAAAAGCAAAAAGCCGGAAGTGGCGCTGTGGCTTGAGTGGTAGAGTGCTAGCCTTGAGCTGAAGAGCTGTGGGACAGCGCCCAGGCCCAGAGTTCAAGCCCCACGACCAGACCCCCAAAAAAAAAAAAAAGAGTCTCACAGACTTTTCTGTCTAGGCTGGCTTTGAACTGGGATCCTCAGATCTCAGCCTCCTGAGTTAGGATTAGAGGAGTGAGCCAGTGGTGCCTGGCTCCAGCTTATTTTTTTTGAAGCTGAGTTTGATCATATAGTCCAGTCTAGCTTTGAACATCCTATCTTAGTCTCTGGAATGCTGAGTTTACAGGTGTAGGTCACTGTCCCAGTTTACTAAGTTTTTTTTTTGTTTTTGTTTTTTTTCTGGGTCATGGGGCTTGAACTCTGGGCCTGGGCGCTGTCCCTCAGCTCTTCAGCTTAAAGTGAGCGCTCTACCACTTGAGCTATAGTGCCATTTCCTAAGTTTGGTTTTTTTTTAAGTTTTTTTTTTTTCCAGAGCTGAGGACCGAACTCAGGGCCTTGTGCTTGCCAGGCAGGTGCTCTTATGCTGAGCTAAGCCCCTAGCCCCCCAAGTTATTTTCGAAGTGCAAAAATTGTTCCTTTGCAAAAAAATGTGGTGGCTGGTGGTTCTAGGGTCTTGTCTTTCTTTTGGAGGTCAGATAAGTATGCAGCAGGGTGTTTTTCTCTCTCTTTTTGTGCCGGTACTGGTGCTTAAACTTAGAGCCTGGGCACCGTCCCTGGGCTTTTATGCTCAAGGCTAATGCTCTACCATTTGGGCTACAGCTGCATTTGGGCCACAGCTCCAGTTCCAGTTGGTGTTTTTTGTTTTTAAGTGGTTAATTGGAGGTAAGAGTCTCACAGACTTTCCTGCTGGGGCTGGCTTTGGGCTATGATCCTCAGACTTCAGTCTCCTGAGTAGGTAGGATGATAGACATGAGTCACCGGTTCCCTGCACAACTCTTTTATTATTATTGTTATTATTACTCTGCCTGTCTGTGGACCCTCTTCTGTGGAGTTAAAAAGACAAGCAGTTTTTTAGAGTCTAAGAGGTTTCTTTTTCTTTGAGAGTCAGGAGGAGAACTCCTGAGCCTTTAGGGCAGACAAAGCAAAGGACAGGGTTAAATTACTCACTTCTAGATAGAGAGAAAATGGCCTTCTAGCTACAACTTTGTGTGTGTGTGTGTGTGTGTGTGTGTGTGCATGTGTATGTGCGTGCGTATGTGTGTGTGCGTGTGTGTGCGCATGTGTATGTGCGTGCGTATGTGTGTGTATGTGCGTGCGTGCACATGTGCACATGCATGCACGTGCCTGTCCTGGGGCTTGGGCTAACACCCGACCACTTGAGCCACAGATCCACTTTTTTTTTTTGTAGTTAATTTGTGATGAGTCTCATGGGATTTACTGCCTCAGCTGGCTTTGAACCTTGATCCTCAGATCTCTTAAGTAGCAAGGATTACAGATGGGAGCAAATTACTTTAAGAGACACAGATGTTTCAACTCTGCTGGCTCTGAGGACTTGTATTTAGTGCTGCTTGAACTCAGGTTATTGCCCTCTGGCTCTGCTTTTTCTCTCATGGCTAGCATGCTGCTACCACTTGAGTCATGCCTCCAGTTTCTGGCTCCAAAGATTAAGAGCTTTAAATAGTGAGGACTTTTGAAAGTTGGCAAGTGATTTGTCTTTGCACCAAATAAAGATGGGGAGTGGCTGTTCAAGGTTCTTGAAGATTCACAGATAAGAAGAGTGAATTATAGGGATGGGGGGAAAGAATTTTAGTTGTCTTTAACTTCTCTATCTGGTAAAACATGTTTTACTTCTCTTTGTGGAAATTATCAGTGATGTATAATTTAAATATTTTGTTCAGTCTAGTTCCTTAGCTCTGCCAATAAATTTTTTTGTTTGTTTTTTTTGTTTATCGGTCATGGGCCTGAACTCTGGGCTTGGGCGCTAATCCTCAACTCTTCAGCTCAAGGCTAGCACTCTACTTCTTGAGCCACAGCACCACTTCCAGCTTTTGCTGGTTATGTGGTGCTGAGGAATCGAACCCAGGGCCTCATCCATCCAACACAAGCACTCTACCACTGAGCCACCTTCCCAGCCCCCCCTTTTTTTTTTTTTTGCCTCCCCTGTTGTGGGGCTTGGGGGCTGTCCCTGAACCTACTTACTAGTCTACTGCTTTAAGCCATGGCACCACTTCTTGTTTTCTGGGAGTGAATTGGGAATCAGAGTCTCATGGACTTTCCTGCTTGGGCTGGCTTTGAACTATAGTCCTCAGATCTCAGCCTCCTGAGTAGCTTGAATTATAGGCATGAGCCATTGATGCCCAGCTCAATAAATTCTTTATCTATCGCACTGATTATTCTGTGTTTGGGGAGTAATTTTTAAAAGGGGCTTGTCATTCATTGGTAAAGTACTTGCTTAGCATTTGTGAGGCACTGGGTTCTGTCCCTAGTACCACACACACAAAAAAAGCCTTTGTTATTATTATGGATAGTACAGAATACAAATTCATTATGTTTTTACCACATGGTACATAATAGAGGTAGAAAAGAACTGGCCTAGCCATTTTATTTTGTTTTTAATAACTGGACATTTATTTTTAATGTTGGCAATGCATTTTTCCCTTCTGGAAATTTCCATCAGTTCAGGCGAGTCCATAAATGCCATCCATGTTGTTAATAGAGGTTTGTTCAGCTGTGATGAGAACTTCCTGTCCTTTTCTCCTTCTATTCTCTTTCCTATTTGTGGTTATTTTTATGTAAGTAGGTGATAGTTGCCAGATGAGGACTTCTTTCCCTGGGGAGAGAAAGGGGGTGGCCACTGCCTTGATTGCCTGTTGTGTGAGCAGTCTGTGTAAAGTGGGAAATGAGCTGTGTGGATGTAAGATTTTCTGTTGAGTCCTTGACATAGCAAGGGCGAAAGTAAAAGGAATAAGGCTTATTAACTCATATTTTAATCTTCATAAAGTGAATCATTTTTATTAAAAAAGCATACCATACCTCAGAGGAAACTTAGAAACATTCTATTTAAAAACAAAATAATGGTTTTTATACCTCTCTCCTTTTTATTGAAAACATTTGCCTAAAAACAGAATCTTTGT